GGGGGGAGGCAAGATGTTTAGAAGAAGCTACGAGAGATTACACGTGGGGGATAGTTATTTTTCGGCCATGGCTTATGAACGCAGCCTAAACACCCCGGCTCTATTTTAATAAAATCATTTTCCTTCTTACCCTTAGCCGAGGAGCTAAAGAAATATTTGAAGAGATACTATCGAACAGGAGAAAGGGCTCTTTTACTGCCTTTGCCTTGGATGGAAGGTGATCAGTTCCACATTGAAAACATCTACACATCAACAAAATTGGTGAAAATGAATACGAATCAAGAGTCTTCACTAGAGAATATGTTCTTCAAGGAGGCGACCGATCACAGAAACGCGAGACGCATACTGATAGAGGGTGAAACAGGGATAGGAAAATCCGCCCTTTGCAAGAAGATTGCATATGATTGGAGCATGAATAAAAATCCTCAATTGTTTCCAACTTTTGAGGTTGTCTTGTCCCTCAGATGTCGTGATTTCCACACTGGCAGTAACCTGTGGGACGCTATTGAGAAGCAGAATTTCTCTGATTGTCTTAAAGAAAAGAAGAATGAAATTTTCGAGTACATAGAGAGCAACCAAAGCGATGTGCTGTTGATATTGGATGGTTATGACGAGATTCCAGACAAGAGTGCTGACACTATGAAACAAAGCATTGAACGACTGATGGATGGCCAACTGCTTCCACATTGTTATGTAATCGTGACCTCTCGCCCAGGAAAGAGTTCAGAGATACGAAACCATTTTGATAGGAAGCTGGAAATAAAAGGATTCGAACTGAACGATTCTTTCACGTTCATCAGGCGCTTCTTTGTTTCTGCACCAATAAATGCTAGTCCTTTCATTTCGTTTATCGAAAGGTTTGAAGATGTCAAGGATTTGGTGCGCAGTCCATTAAATACTGCCATTCTTTGCCTTCAAAAGAAAGACAACGAAGAACTAAGTATTCGTAGTCTCAACGAGGAGATAATATTCAGTATTCTCAAACGATACTGTGTTGAAAAGTTGGGACAAAAAGTGAATGATGATGATATACCAGGTGTAAGAGAAAAACTTTACACCCTCGGCAAGATGGCTGTCATTTTGAAGAAAGATGACCGTGGCAATGAGTTTGAAGAAAATGAGTTTCGAAACATAGTTAATCCTGCTGGATGGCCATGTGTTGCTTTCTTCGTTGCGATTCTCAGTGCAATTTGGTCTTGGATTAGGAAAAAATTCCGCAATGAGAGCTTAAGAGAAAAAGTGAGTGCTACTGACTTAATTGGAGAATTTCTTGTTCACAAGAAAACAGTAGGCACGATAAAGACAGTTTCATGTTATACCTTCCTCCATGCGTCCCTCAAAGAACGTCTTGCTACAGACTATGTCAAACAATCTTTTAGAAAGATAGATTTCAGCGAGTGCACGTTTATTTTGGCTTTCAAGAACTGGGCGACCTTCTTGAGAGTAATTTGTCTTATTCGCGACGTGTTAAAAAGTTGCATCGAGGATAAAACTCTAAGTTCGCGGGATATCGTACAATATGTGCTAGCATTTTTGTTGATGGTTATTTATATTGGCTTTATTATATTTACTTACAGAGGCTGGATTAATTCAAGAAGCGAACTCAAAATAACCTATCAAAGAGTAAATTAAAGTTGCTCATAGTTTTGGCTTCATGAGAGAGAAAAGGTTTAGCTCGAACTAAAATACGTCATTATTTTATAACTTTTATAACTGTCAATAGAAGACAGAAGACCAACCCTACTCTATAAAATGGGTTAGAAAACTAGTAATGTAATGACAATCAATGGACTCTTAGTAATTGTTAGATAACTGTCAATAGAAGACAGAAGACTAACCCTACTCTATAAAATGGGTTAGAAAACTAGTAATGTAATGCAATCAATGGACTCTTAGTAATTGTTAGATAACTGTCAATAGAAGATATAAGAAAGAAAACCAACCTTACTAGAGTACTAATTAGTACTATTTCATACAGAATCCTTTGTTTTCTATTGTTTAATTATCACTATTTAGTGCTAAAAATTAGTATTTGTTTCACGGATTTAGTGTTAGCACTCTATATAAATAGGTTGGAAAATTATACAGTAATGTATAATGACCACCAAGTCTTTTTTTAGTGTCTTATTAATTGTTAAAATAATAAAATCATTATTTTAAGGTGCCTTGTGATATAATTCGTAGCTAGCTCGCACAAACGGTGCAGATAAAAAAATGCGAGGAACGAGGCTGTCATTGTGTTAACAGGCCGTTGGCAATTTCGTGTAACATCCTGAGCCTAAATTTACATCATTTAATTTTGTGTACCGATACTTAATTCATAGTTTTTATATCGTAACATTACCAGAAATCAGGGACAAAATGGCGGACAAACTAATTATTCATACTTCTTCTGCCCCTTTAAAAATGGCCGTCTAATAGAGA